ACAGCCCCCAACTCAGATTTGAAAAATAAATCAGTGGATGGTTGTTTTCTGACTGGTCGGCAGATCGCCGACCGGTCGGCCCTACTGGTCAGCTGCAATACGGTCGGCGGTTGGGGTCGGTAGGCATGCAACCCTGCTAAATTCCTTGAAAAAACATCAGGAGCGTAGATTGGGTGCTGATCTGTTCGAGGAAGAAACATTCTGAAAAAAAAAGTACACAATTACGGATGGGAAATAAATTTCGGAAACACCAGTATGCATATTTTTTTACCCTAGCTAAAACTCTTTGGCTCAGTGCAATCGGCATCGGTGGTTTAAAAAGACATTTTGACGAATTCACAATGCTTTTTCCCATTTGGGCTCACCAACTCACCACTTGCTGCATAGGAAACACATGACAAATCTTGTCACTTCGTAAAACATCCAAGACAAAGTCTGTCAGGTGCAAATCCTTCACAGAGGAGGAAAGGAACAACCATAAAATCTAATCACAGATCTCGAAAAGCAACTATGTCTCATCATAACCATTCCATGAACTTAACAAGCTCTACCATAATTATTCCGTGCTCACTCATCACACCACAATGATCTCCCAGAAGAAAGGGAGGTTGTGGAAAGACCATTTGTTCGGCAACAAGATGGGAAGATGAATAGGAAAACGCAAGGAGGCTCGAATTGTATGATGAAGAGTCTGGACGTGGGAGTGCCGACTCACCCTTATTGACCCACCCACAATGTCATGTTCTCCCTTGAACACTGACCACTTCGCTACGCCATCAATACTTGTCACCCCCTCCACAGCCCATTCTCTCTGCTGCCAGTTAGCTGTCATCCCATTAGCGACCCCTGCTCCACCACCTCCTCCTCCCAAACCTGGAGCACCAGCTGCCCCATGGCCAAGCATGCCTGGAAGAGCTTCCGCCATCGCCACATCACCACTGTTATTGCTGCTGCTCGTCAAACCAACCCCACTTCCATGCGAATGGCCACCCTCATCTCGCCCATGCTGACCAGATGCCAAACACAGGTGCCTCGAGATCCACTCATGGACCTGTGCAATCGGTACAGGAGCGGCCGGCATAGCAGGATCTGCATTTGCAAAGAACGGAGGGGCCTGGCTTAGAGGTCGTATATCACCTCCACCCACACCTCCTATGCGAAACACAAGACCCAACCTGTCGAACTGGGGGCCAGATATAACCTGCCCCAGACCACAAATCAATAATAATACGCACCCGCAGCCCCAACCACATACACAAACACACGCATAAACCCCTGTGCAAACAAAGGAAGAGCAACACATTCAAACACACGACAGTGCACATGAAACAGAAAGCCATACCACACACTCACATAGACACCCACCAACAAAGGAAGAGGAGCACATGCAAACACACGAAACAGACGACCACGCACAGAGACATCAGAAGAGGCTACCAACAATGAGTCCATCAGCACAAAGAATCACACAAGGACAGAGGATAAAAATGACAGAACAGAAACGGGGAGAGAGAGGCAGGGAGCAACACAAGAGGAAAGACGCAAAGACAGAGAGATGCGAAAGGTACAGACAGCAACAGATCAGAGAAGACAGGAAGGTTGGGAGAAGAGAGGGAGGTAAAAGAGAGAAAGAGAGACAGACTGACTGAGCAAGAATGAGAAAAAGACAAAGAGGGATGGTGAGAGAGGGAGAAACAGACCTCTCCATCCCAAAAATTCGAAGCATAAAAAAATCGATACATTTGACGGTGATTCTCAGATTCGCAACTTGAGAGTTCCCGTTAGAAAGATATGTCATCAGGTGCTGTCACCATCTGCCCCGTTATCGAGACAAATCATTATGAGACTCATGTACCAATAATCCAATCAACAAAACCTCATGCAATAGGCATACACACAAACACAGACTACGGCAAAATAGAAAATAGAAAGCCGCTGAATTCTAACATCATGGACTATACAAACTGCAGGTACGGGTTCCACCAGATATGTCATGGGATACATGTACATTCTGCTTCATAACCACACAGCACAGCACAGCACGCAAACCATGCACAGACATATGCTACCGTCTTCACTGTAATATAACACGCAGTCATTGTAGCTGTATTTGGGGCAACTTCCAGTCTAGATAAAGCAATAATGATAGGGCCTTCTGTTCAGGTGAAGACGGTAGTCAGCACAATTCAGGCTCAGCAGCTCCGTTGCCTACTCACACTCCCTCCTGTCATCCATATACATTCTTTCCATCTCCACCTGTGTTCAGTCTGACCCGCCCCCAACG